GGGAGATCCATCCAAAAACCGACAAGATAAAAACTAGAACCAGGTCGGAATACGAACGGAATACGAACGGAATACGAACGGAATACGAACGGAATACGAACGGAATACGAACGGAATACGAACGGAATACGAACGCTTCCAGGTCATGTACTCGCACAATACGGAGATCAGATACAGAACCTCGAGTGAGGTAAGCTCCTGGCTTATAAAGGCGAACTGAAACAGGGTGGAAACAAGGAACAGGTGCAGGAAAAGGGGCAAACGAGGAAGGCCTTAAGCGCCCTTAAGAGGAGGGGTTTGCGATTGTGACAGATGTTAAGGCAATTACAGGAAATAGAAATCTTTTAAAAGGTACAGTAATCATGCTTTTATTTGCATTGTGAAAAGATTTCAGGATTCATTTGGTTCCTTACTATTCTTGTTTTTTTCTATGAATCAAGCTGCAAAGAAAATGTTTAGATCTGTATCCCTTTCTCCCTTTCAACAATTAAGGGATGTTTGATCACAAGAGTTTAATGAAGGCATGCTTATCTTTGCCTTTGCTGCCTAATTCTTATTTGTTTTGATTGTTATTTAATTGAACAAATGTGTCAGCAATGAAGGGGATAAAAGTCAAAGAGCTGCAGAAGTTTAGAAAATTAAGCCATTAGTTGCCTCAAAACGTTTGATATGCAAAGGTCAGGTTTTATTTATTAGGGAAAACAGGCATTCTAAATATACATTGTGCTTCCTTTATTCCAAAGGCAAATGGTTTATTGGTTAGATGTTGAAAGTTTATTTAAGGAGTGAATATTCAAGAGGTCCTGTATGGCCAATTATTAGGCAACTCCTTTACTGTACACCAGGTGAAAAGAAGGACCTTGATATTTAATTCAATTTGTTGGTAACATAGTCAAAAGGCACATGATAAAATTTCAATTTACTGCAGTACCTACTGAGGAGAAGCAATGGCCAAATTAAGAGGAAAAACTATTAATATAAATTATTAATTATTAGACTGTTTCATAGGAAAGTAATCCATACAAATCTTGAAGAGCATCAGGCAGGCATCCATCACCAAAACTATCTTGAGGGCTCATTTCTATTGCAAAACTGGTTAAATTGGTAAACATAAAGTTCAGTCACACCGTTCCTCTTATCTAAAATTCAACCAAAAGTATCATTCTGGAATGGGAAGGGTTTGAGCCTGAAATATTTTAAAACCCTTGCAATATAAACGGTACATTGTTGAAGATGTTCTTCCTAGTTGCGGCATATTATTCAGAGGAATGGCCTAAAAGTGGACATTCAAAATCAAATACATTTACTAGCAGATAACTATATTTCATTTTTTAGAAAGCTTTTGATCTCAGAGGATTACAAAGTTATCAACATCTAACAAGGGACTCTCCTCATCCACTGGTACCAGCAGTCCACCTACAAAGCAGATCAGGTGTGACAAATTCACAAATTTAATTCAATGAGAAGTTTAGATTCTTATTGAATTCCTTTAGAATCCTCTAGATTCCTTTAGAATGGACTTTAGAATTGTTATCCAATTTCCTAAAGCATGTGCACCCATTTCGTTGCACACAGTAGTCTCAAGAAATAGACACAGAGGACCGGCTGTGTCCACAAATAATATTGATTATTTAACATTGAGGAAATCAAACTGATCAAAATTTATTTTGAAAACAAAACCCTAGTTCTGAACTCCACCTCCATTTTTAGCTCTATACAGTATATCCTATCAGCCCTCTCTATAAGTAGCAAGACGGTTAAGAAAGAGCAGACATTGACAGTCACGGGAACCCTTTGCTTCTTGGTAATTGATTGGCACCCAACTAATTGTGTTCTACTAATTGGTTGGGTGACTGAGGACAGTCATTTCTACTGTCATTCCACCTGCACTGTCTTCTGAGGAATGTAGTTCTGACCAAAACTGTCATGTTGTTCCCATCTACTTCTGCTCGGATGTTGTTTGGATAGACTCAATACATTTAAAGTGCACTCTATATAAAAACTGTGTTTACAAATATTAATATTACAGTAAGTCAGTACATCATTTTTGCACTTTGTCTCAATGTCAATTTGTTCTTTTTATGGAGTTTATCTTCTATTTTAATGAACCACGGCTTCATAATCTATTGGCTTTATTTTAATAAATCAATCATTGTAAATCAAATTTTTTGAAGAAGATTAAAAATGATTTGTCTGTATTGTTATATGGCTAGATAATTCACGCCACGTTTCACGGAGAATATCCATGTTCGTTTGATTCCTTCGGCTCTTACAGTGTGCATGAAAAAACATCTAAAAAAAAGGCTGTGAGTGCCAATGTTTTCAGTGAAGCTGCTCAACTTGATTATATTGTTTAGCTAGAGATATTCCATAATACATTCAGGGAGGCCTTTTACTGTATCTGTAGTACATGAAGTAAACGAAAATATAAATCTAACATACTTTTCCACAAGGAAGGTTCTTAGAAAAGAAGCTCTTGTAGCAATTTAATTTTCCTACACGTGTCATCAAGATGGACTTTCCTCTGTGTTTTGTGAAATCATTGTTGTTGCTCAAATTGCATTTGACTACTTACTGTTCCTCTGTGAAATTGTTTTTGTTCATGTAGCTTCAGTCAGTAAATGTGTTACTACAAATGCACACTTGGGACTGATTTCCATATTTTCCAAGAGATTGGTATCCCAAGCATGCCTTGGAGCATTATTCATCTGCAAGTTGTACGAGGTGTTGAACAGTTGAAAACGCAATCGTGATTGTGTACTCTCCAGAGGATTCCAGAGGATGTACTGTATGTTTGTTTAAGAGATTGAATGAGCTTTTCAGGATGGTTTTCTTCTCTCACAGTTTTATTAATGCAGTTATGCTTGTAAGTAAATATTACTTTAATGGGTGCTTAACCTTGTTCATGTCATTGAAGAGAAACCCTCATTACAGAACTCTTGCTTTATCAGAAGGATACACATATTATTAACCTTCTTGTCTGTAGGCCCAAAGAAGAGAGCTCTCGTCTCTGAACTTAGTCATTTGCATTATTCCTGAACACATCGCAGTTTGTGGTTTATAAAAGCTAGACAGCTTGTTCTTCTAAAACTTTTTTTTTTTGTAAACAGATAAAATGCTTTACCAAAGATCTGGGTCCAATATGAATTTATAATGTTTTTAGTATATTAAAAAAGTATTTGATTAAATACAGGTTTCCTGAGCAATATGGCTGACTATAAAAAATCCATAATACTTCCTGTTGGAATTCTGTGGTGACTTGATCAGTAGAACTCTGTTGTGCTTTTGATAAATCTTGATTCTTTAGGGCAAATTTTGTGTTTAATGATTTCATTATCTGACGAAAAAACAACTTAAACCTACAATGCTTCCCAGCATAGCTTTTAAAAGATATTTCTCTTCCTATGATACTGAATGTTTAGATTTGAAGTAAAATTAAGTTCCCTTTCACTTTTTTTCTTGTTTTTACTGTATTTTTATGCATCCCCATGATTCAAAACATTTATTTTCCTTGAAAAGTTCCTCTCAGAATACTCCCAGGGTGATAATTTCTGTGCAGTCACTATAATTATGCTTCCTTCCTTGGAGTCATGGTTACTCATTTGCTGTACACTCTACCTTGGACATTCTCTCAAACATTTTTGAAGGAAAAACATGTTTTGTCCGTTGTTAAATGAACCACCAGCAATTGTTTATGGTGTTTCATTGCCTTAATTTTGGGAAATTGCATCATCTGAGAAATTCTGGATGTACATCTTGGTCAATGTGATCACTCTGGGGAGGAACACGTTTTTGGGCCTAGAGGATTGTACTGTACATGACTTTATATTCTCACAGCTTTTTACTGTTTGTCCCATGTACTGCACACAGTGTTTCTATAACTGACTTAACAAAAACATAAACATTAAGGATGAAATAAATATTTCCTCCCTATGAAGTTTTGAAATTTTGTTATTTCTGTCCTTTGCTGATAACATGCTTATTTTCTTTTGGTTAGCTGTACAAACACTTTAAGTCAGCAATTGCTGATCCCCCTGAGGAATTCGGACTGAATTGAATCATATCAATCATATGGAAAACTGCACTCATTCTTCTTTCTTCTTTCCTCATTTAGTCAGAGCTACCACTTGCAAGCTGCAAGAGACATGCATCCCAGTGTCAGCCTGGATCCGACAGCCAACTATAACTCCCCCAAGTTTCGTTCCAGGAATCAGAGCTACATGAGAGCAGTCAGCACCCTCAGTCAGGCAAGCTGTGTTAGTCAGGTGAGTTCAATCTCCATAAATCACAACAAATCAGAGGATTTGAGCCAAGAGCCGGGAGAAGACCAACTGTTTAACAGAAGATCGCAGCGTGTTCCAGTGGGCCGCTGTGCTTTGACATTTTCAGATGAGAGCCACATTATGGTGAAATATGTCTACTCTGCGCTGGGGTTTGAGCTTTCTTAAGGTTAGTGATAAATGTGATTCACAAAAAAAATAAGCGTGGTTAAAACTGTTCCTAGACATTGATTAGGTTGGCATGCAAAAACAACAGAGTATATTTCCTATTGCATTTGGTTAAATTCTTCAAATGTCCCAGCTGGTGTTTCACACTAATAGCTGCTCATTGGTGGTTATGTATTTATTTGGCAACAAGAGGAAATATTCTATTACCTTGATAACACAGCCCATGTTTCCTGACCCCGACACAGTTTTGTGTAGTAGCATACATCGTTGTCCCAAACTTTGAAGAGACGATTAAATATAACAAGATTTTGATCACTGACCACACAGGATTTTTTTCTCACTGTGAAATTGTATGCAGTTGAGGAAACAGATCCAATAAATGTGAATACATTTAATGTCCTTACATTGCATGTCTCGGAGTCTAACTGTGATTCTATCTAAATATGACAGAATACCAAGGACCAAAAATACCAATTTTTGAGAACTCTTGTGGGCAACCTTCATTACTCCTCAATAAACAATGAGTGAGCTATTTTTCACCTCACCTTTCTGTGCACATTGTAACTCCTTTTCAGACTCACAATATATACTAAACATTTCTGTACCTTACTTATATTTTGTGAGGTAATGGGAAACATGGAGCTACTTTTTAGTTTTTAGAGTTTTTAGTTTCTGCTCAGACTTCAAAATTAAACAAAGGGTGGGGGTAACATTATGTTGTGTTTATTTTCAGTCCCTGATATGAAATTACTGTATTTATAGATTAACCTGTTGTTAGTCTTTTGAAGAAACAATGAAATCAAAAGAAACAAAGTAATAGAGGGATAATTACTCCAGAAAATTGGGTTTCTGCTTTAAGCTCGGATAATAAAATTCAAGTCTACATGAATGGTGAAAGGGGTGTTGATTCCTTAATCGTCCAAAAAATTGAAATATCATGTTTAAGTTTCCCATATTTCTGCACTTCAGATCTATGAAAAGCGTTTTAAAGATGCAGTACCCTTCAGTACCTTGTGACATGATCAGGCAAGTAGTGAGTTTTCCTTTGAAAGCGCAATTTCGCTCTTGTTGTTTTTCTTGTAGATACAGTAGCACATTATAACTTCATCGGTACTTAGACATCATTATTGATATTATTTTAAGCCAACTATATATTTTCCTTGTAAATCTCCAGGGGAACCTCCAGTCTTTGAGATGTGTGAGGCCTTCTGTCTTCATCCCAATTAAACTATAAAGAACCTTATCAAAACATTTACTTTCTTAATTGGATCACTTCAACTCTTTACAGGGGATGATTTAAAGAGGTTAAAACTGCAAGCCTCATGGTCAAGATTTTTCGGCTTATAATATAAAAGAATTTGATGGATGTAATGAGTATTGGTTGTAAACTCCAAGTGACCATATACTGTAACATCGTGAGTGAGGACACCCATTGTCTTCAAAAGAAAGATGGCATTGGATGTTTTTAATTGAAGACCTGGATGAGTAAATGCATCATTATGCACTTTCAATGGAAACTCAAGTTTTTTCAAGTTTGGCTTTAGTTTTGAGTTTTGTTTTAATGGCTTATCTGCAGTGGGATTTTGCTTCTGATGCCCACTGGTTATGTTGGCATGCATGCTGTCACAGCTCTATGTTTACAGACATACACAGAATACAGAACAAGGTATATACAATGTATATATATACATTACATAACAAATATTAAGATTGCGGCTTCATTTTTTAAAATTTGTCACCAGGCAACCAACAAAGGACCACCTTTGTAAAGTTTCTTTCTTACACAAGAAATGAAATTTTAAAAAAATGACGTTTTGTCAAGAATACAAAGAAGTGTTTTTATTGCCTTTTTTGTATATTTGAAAATCTATATAAATGCATATACATAAAATGTTCCTTACTCTATTCCAGGCTAAAATGATGTTCATTGTATGATGGGCTTGATGAGCTACAGATCTTGTACATCACTTGTGTCAGCTGGCCACAAGGAGGCGCCAGCCTTAACTGTAGACCTACCACAAGATCCACATTCCAGGAATCTGCAAGGGCCTATTCTCGTTACTGTATGTACAGTATCTTGTCACAATGCTGCCCATTGTGAGCAGCAGCTCACTGAGGCCCAGCAGATTCCTGTGGTAATATTATGCTCCCAGGTCACAAGAGAAAAGAGAATATGGACAGCAGACACTCTTGGTTACTGTCAGTTTCTCTGAAGGGTGGTTCTTGGTAGTGCAGATAAGCTTGAATTGTACTGTCCTTTTGGAACGATATTATACATGTCATACTGTTTTATAAGAAAAACAGGCAGAAATGATTTTTTTGTTCTCGAGGCTTTTACCCTGTCAATGGAATTTATACCTATGAGCTCTACGGTGTTTCTAACAATATATGTGAGTTCTGTTGTCTTCCGGAAATCTTTAATTCACAGTTAAGATTTATATATAAAATTGCCAGGCGGTATTTCAATAATGTAAACCTCTCCGAAATACAAATAGTTCATAATATACCACAGTTAGAGTGCATAAATCACACATGAGAAAGAAATGAGACATCCTATATGTGGAGAATTCATCTCTCTTTCAAAAACAAAGTTTCAACAGGATTACTGTTTCTAACAGAGAAGGCAAAATTGAAGAAATATCAAATAGTAGATTTCTACAGCTCTTATATAATCTTTTATGTTGATAGTAGCTTTTATGTTTCAAGTAATGAAAGAGACCATATAAAGAATGATTACATAATTAAAATAATTCATTTCTTTTGACATTAGGTGCTATCGAGGTGCTTACGACTCAAAGGCAAACGTTTCTGTTAATTGAAATTATAGTGGCAGACTGAGCGTTCAACTATTCAGCCTTAACTGTCATTATTTTTAACAATAACGTAATTAGAATCTTGAACATAAAAAATAGGTAAATTACTGACTGAAGTAAATGGCTTGCAGCATAGGTACTACTTGTCTATTATTAATTTTCTCAAAAGCCATGTGTCAAATTAATTGCTCCTTTAGGCCTGTAAATATGTTGTTCAATAACTACTATATGCTTTGCATCTTAATTGCATGTAGTGAAACGCAAAACAGGACATAGCAAGGGAAAAACAGTGGGACACACTGAACCCAGCTCTTTAATATTGCTTTGGATTTTATATGTTTCAACTTTGAACAGTTAAGATATGAGAGTATTTTCAGCATATCTGGCATATCTCTAATACATACTACAAAGAAAAATACTAATTGGTTATTTAGTTAAATAAATGTTGCTAAAAAGATTAACTTTCAAACGTAGGATGAGCATGGCAATTCTCAAGGCTTTTTGCTTAAGTACCTATTTTTTCTCTTCATATTTCTGAAGACAGATGTACAGTATAAAAAAGTTTAAATGTGATCATTGGACTAGACATACTGTACAGTACTATATTGTGAAAACTGGAAAGGGATTTTTTTTCCACGTACATGTAAATTATTTTGTGTTTCATATACAGTACATGTAAATTATTACACACACTTTCGACAATATAAGGTATAAAAATGGAGTAGTGGAAATAAATATGTAATAGAGCTTTCATATTTTTTCCCATTGAATATTATACATGAAAATATGTAGCACAAATAATTAAGTATTGACCTAATTTTCTCATTGGATTATTCTAACCCTTTCAAATGCAACCAATGTAACTCAATGTAATTAACATTTTACCATTATAGATAGAAAATACTTTATTAATCCCATAGGGAAATTGATGTAAAAGAATGATTATGTTAAAGAATACATCTGATAATCCAAAAATGGATACTGAAACACTTTAGAAACGCAACATCTACTTTCACATATCATGAACATAAATGCAGTTATACCAAGTTAGCTTCTTTATGTTTAGTATTAGTGGATGTGCTATTCTTGTAGAAAAGGTTAGAATGCATGCATTTTTTTCCTCTTCATGTTACTCCCTAAATTAGTAAAGGCAAAATATGACATGATTTGTATGGCAGAAACTTTGTGCTCATGAATTTACAGATGCAAAAGTAATGTCTACAATTACTGTATATAGGGGATACAGATTCAGTTCTTGTCAAACTTGATAACATTGATCTTGTAGCTCTGTCAAAGAGAGAATGAGGATACCCTGGGAATTTTACTGGCACAAATGACACTAGGATAAGATCACTTTATTGTCCACATACAATTTCTTGTATTAGGAATTTGTCTTTTTCGCATACACCAACTTGCTCTCCACGAGACACACAGACAGGGAGAAAAGCTTGGGGTCAAAAGGCAGGGTCAGCCATTTATACGGCGCCCCTGGAGCAGTTGGGGTTAAGGGCCTTGTTCAGGGGCCCAACAGAGTAGGATTTATCTGCCGGCCACGGGATACAAACTGGCAACCTTCCAACCACAGGCGTAGATCCTTAGCCACAGAGCCACTGCACCGTAAAGGCAAAATTGCAGAAATTGTGTTCTCATTAATTTACACATGCAAAATGTCTACAAGTACGTAGGGGACGCAAATTAAGTTCTTATCAAACTTTGATGATAACATTGATAGTATCACAGTGTCACCAATGACACTATATGGTGTTGTTAAATGATTCAATAGCAAATTCATTCAACTAGAATACACATCAGGAGATTGCCAACAGTAAGGATGCTCCTATGATCAACCAAGTGTAACTGAGGGCTTATGTCCACACAGGAACAACTATATCTCTTGATGCAACTGGACATAGTGGAAGACATAAGAAGTCATAATCATGGTTCATGGCATGAGCAAGACACTGCATTTATTGTTCAAGAAATTGGGAAAAACCCAAAGCACAGTTTAATAGTTTAGCATCACTTGTCCTAAACTTATATTTACATGTCAGCATAAACAATAATCCCCTGTATGTCATGTAGTGATTTCTGGTGCTTCAGTATCACTACAGGAAATGACAGACATAATGATTTTCAAACAAACCACAAACTGTTCACTAACATTATGGAAAAGGAGAAGCATTCATTTGGTAGAAGGAGCAAAATAGTGTGTCAGGCCATAATCATTGGAGGTGGCCTGTTGCCTTTGAGGCATAATACACTGAACAGCATTATGGTGACCTATTCTTACAGCAATGCCGATTCCAAAGTTATCACATTTTCACCCAAGATTACAGTTGTTTCCACAATAAAGTGTTTATTCAAGATTTTCTACTTCAATCTGGGATTAACTTCACACTTGTATCACTGCATTTTAAGTCAATTCAAGCTTTATTATGCCCTAGGGGAAAAATTGTTTTGTTAAGTCCAACACAACAGTACAATAAACACAACAAAAACCACCAAAACCAAGAAAGAGTTCAGGACAAACAATATCACAGGAAACAAAGAATAATTTTACATTATTAAAAACTGAAATTGCAGAGGAGAGAAATGACTTCTTAAATCCATTTTCATGACACCTTGGGGCACAGAAGCATCTTCCACATGGCAGGAGTGCTGATTCACAGTGAAGGGAATCCTGAATCCAGATTCTTGTAAGCCTGCTACAGAGCCCTATGTTTGTAGAGTGCATTTAAGCTGATCTAAAAACATTTAACCCCATAAGTCTGCTTATTTGAACTATGTTCATAAATCGATTACAATTTGTTTCACTGATCTTTCCAAACCATCAAACAAAGACAGTAGATTAAGAGAATTTCAATAAACGATTTGTCGAAAAATGTTCAAATACTTTGGTCCACAAGAAGCTAAGCTTCCTTAGGAAAAAAATGTCTCTGTTGGATTGTTTTTATAAATGACCATGCTACATTTGTTGCATCTTAATATTTGTATTTATGAACAGTCCCAATTCTTTAATCATTCACAACCTCTGCAGTCTGGACAATTATAATGGTGGAGGGGACTATATTCTTCCTAAAATCAATGAAGAGCTCTTTTCTTTCGAAAACATCTACAGTACAGTAATTCCAAAGAGAACTCATTGCATCATTGAATAAAATCATTTAGAACAGGCCCGTTCAAGTATCCGGGGTTCTTACATTAGATGATAAGAGCGATGTTGTCAGCACACTTAATAAGATGTGTATCGGTGTGTTTTCTCTTACAATAAGTTTACAAAATGCACAATCAAAGGGAGAAGACACAGCCCTGTGGTGATCCAACAGAAGTGTAATGTACTGTACATCAAAATAACCATTTCCCCACTTTGACCTATTGAGACCTGCTCATTAAGAAATTCAAACACCCATAAACAACCAATCAATCAATCTGAAATCCTCTTTGATTTCTGAGATCTTCTGTGCCAGTAGGAGGCCCAAAAAGGTTATGTACCTGGAGATTCATATAAATAGACATGACAACATCAAGAAGTGGTAAATAACACTGGAAGACCATCTCTGTGGTCTGTGAGCAAGAAGTCTGACTCTTGTGCCACAATGTTTGCGTGCTAATGGTTCAGTTAATAGCTGTCACACCTGGTTATTGTTTAAATACACTGGGGTGCCCGATTGCCCCATACAGAAGCACACATGACTTTCAAACTTGCTTCTCAAGACATTTTTCACAAATGATGAAATGGTGTCCTAGGATAGAGCAAGCCCAATCACCTCAGATCTGGGGTTTGTATTTCTAAAGTGTTTGGTTATATTTTAAAATTTCTGTTTATTATTTTTATATAGAATTATATATTACAGTAGAAGGAGAAGTCAAAAATTTTACAAATATACTTTATGTTTGCCTTACTAAAAAAAATAAGAGTAGAAAATACATCTTACACAATAAAAAAGGTTATTTCCATGCCACAGACAAAGTGTAAATGGCTAATTTATACTTTACAGTTAAGCAATACTTATTGGCGATCAGGAGATCAAGATGATTGTACGTGCAGTATAATACTGTACATGCTTTATTTTTGGGTAATTCCAATCATACATTTGATTTGATTACAGCAAAAGCATTATTTGTGTAAAACCCACTGATTTCAAGTGACTTTCCAATTAAGTAAACTTCAGAATATAAAAGTCATTATTTGGTTGCATCTATCTGTCTGGTCACCAAAGTCTTTGTGTAATCATTTGAGATGCTTAGCCAGACCTTTGCTTCAGCCACCTTTGAGACCTTGCCTGTTCTTGTCATGTTTTTACTTTTTTCTTCAGAATCTAAAATGCATGTTCAATTGGATTTAAATCTTGTTTAATGTGCTTAATTTACACTCTTTTGGAATAATGATAACAGTAAGCACTAATAATGCAAAATGAAAACGATAGTAAGAGCTTGTTTTTCTGTTGCCCATTATTACAGTGTATGTTTTTGGTATAGTTTCATTGTCCACATGAAGAAAATAGCTTCTAACAATATTTTACTTTAGACCTTTGTCATCTGCTAAACGTACAGTATGTGGTTTCTGTCACTGAATTTTAAAAAAGTCATTACACGTACTGTACAGTATATCAGATAAAAGAGTTAAAGCTGCAAAGAAGGTACCAAAACTATATGTACATAATTTAATTTAATCATTAAGTTATCATTTATCTAATTTATTTATTGTCTGAGTCAGTAACCAATATCCTACTGTACACTTACTACTGTATAAATTGCATACAACACATTGAGTGAACTGGTGACTTTTCAGTGATTTACAGTGCAGAAGACTCAAGAATACAACAAGGGTTCTCGGTATTATCATTTTTATTGATGTGTCCCTTGAGTCCTCTTTATTTTGTCTGAAATCGACCATTTACTAAACAGTACATACATTGTATATACCACATTCAGGTTCACATTAAACCTGAATTAGCATTTGAGATGAATACAATTACAAGTTTATAGCTTCTTTTTAAATGCCTGTTTTCGTTTTGTTTTGTTCTGTCTGTCCCCTTTTGCTTTTTACATAAATTCTTCCCAAAAAAATCAAGAATGGGATAGTGCATCTTAAAACAGTTGAAGTTTTAAATTCTTTCTTTAAAAAAAAGTATTCTTCTGAAGTTGAAAAATTGGGACATTTCGCTAACACTCCTTCATATTTACTGTACAAAGGGGAAGAATGAAAGTCAGAAAGAGAAAGGAAGAGGAAAAATTAAGGACTGCTATTCCTGTTTTTGTCTCTCAGGTGAGTGAGACTGAGATCAATGGCCAGTTTGAATCAGTTTGCGAGTCCGTTTTTAGTGAAGTAGAATCCCAGGCTATGGATGCCTTGGACCTGCCTGGCTGTTTCCGCACTCGAAGCCACAGTTACCTGCGTGCTATTCAGGCTGGTTATTCCCAAGATGACGACTGCATTCCTTCAATGACATCTTCCACAGTCACCTCAACTATCAGATCCACAACAGGTAACAGTATGCTTAAAAGAGAAGGTTTAGAATACATACATTCATACATAACATACATATTTACATACAGTGGATACCTTGCTTGACAGACTCAAGAGTGAATGTTAAACTGTTTTTTTTTCCCGTTTGCTTTGTTTGGCTATTGTTGTAATTTTGTTTTTGTTTTTTTTTGTTGTTGTTGTTGTTTTTTGGCCTCTGTATTTGAAAGTACGATTTTAAGGTGCTTGCAAAGTTTGCACGAAATGATGCATCTGTCCCTCTGGGTGCACTATAAGGCTCACAGTGAGAGCAGAGGAGTACGTTGCGGGCTCACATTAAGGCAGCATAACGAGTAACGACTGTGTTCACACTACTGACACATCACACGGCATGTGTAATGAGAAATGAGTGCTGTTTTGAGCATGTAAAAACATCAGTTTAATTGAGCATAATTCAAGAAATTGGGAAAAACCCAAAGCGAAGTTTAACAAGATAGGGTTTGAGCAGGGGGAGGGAGGAATCTAATTGATAGCAGGCTAAAGGTGTAGCTTTCACAGGGCCCTGCAACGGCTGACATTAGCGATGTCCTGGTAAAAGAGAAGTCCTGACGGCTTTGCCAGTATCTGGTTTGTCAAACAGACAAACTTCTCTAACTGATTTTGACTTGTAAGCCTACAGCGTTCAGGACTGGGAATAACAAAAATGTAATCATTATACGGTAAGTTACCAGACTTTGGAAAATTTAGAGGCTGGTTGCACAAAGTAACTTAAGTACTTCAGTAAGATTATAATGTTCTTCTTTGTTCATTTTCTTAGAAATAAAATGTGTTGTTCTGAGAATTTCCTTAGGTGATCCTTGAGAAATAATCAGTAAATACACTTTCATCTGTCAAAGTGTTGCACAAAACCTATTAGGAAATACATTTCCCTTATTGTAAAGGTTGCTTTAACAGAGCTATTTCTTCTTCAGATGTGCTGGGGCTAAAATATCCATAGTGATTAATTACATGACAGTTAAAGAATTTAATAAGAACATACCACTAGTATCATATGTATACTGTATGAATGAGGCCTAAACTTTTATACAGTAACATTTTTGGACAAAATATTCGGCATAGAAGAATGTTCACCAGCTTACATGTTGTACACAGTAGGAACCCAATTTTGAATTAAGCCATACAGTAATGTTCACTTTCATAATAGCTCAATATGGATTACTGATTATTTAGTTGTTTTGCAGTATGGTTACTACTACTGTATATGATTTGAATATACAGGTATATGCATTTCCCAAAAGTCATGAATATATAAGATTTTACACCTCTGCTTTTGTTAGATCCAAAAACCATGCTACTTGGGCAAACTGACTGCAAGCAATGTATGGCAAATACCAATTTGATTAAATGTAAGAAAATGATTCAAAGTGTTAACATGGTTTTGCTTCCTTCCGGGAAACACTTTCCTAGGTTTTGTGCAACAGAACTCAAATCATCCAGAAGGAAAACCAAATGGTTTATACAGTATGTCGGTATGCAAGGTGCTTTGTGCAAGTGGCCTATGTCCCTCTAAAATGAATTGTGTAGTTTATTTGGTGTATGCCTCCAAGAGTAAAGCTATGAACCCTATTGAAATAATGCTGTAAAATGCAGTAGATAAAATTAATAAATCTTGGAATTAATTGATGTTATCACATAGGTCAGTCCCAGAGAACCCAGTCTCTATTTTAATGTGTTTTGTTTCTGTTTGGAGTTCTATATTATTTTGCTTTATTTTTTTAATTGGGTGTACCCAATTTGATCACCTTTATTTAAACCAAAGGACAGATGATAAAGGAGTGTCCTCCAATCCCACTGTCTTGCTAGCTGCTTCTTTCCACCCAATGGGCTCTGTTCTCAGATCTGTAAATTAGGAGAATTGGTTGTGCTCCTTAAAGTCAAATTTTTCTAAAAAGGACCTGGATTATTCTCACTGCAGCATTTCAAGGTTTTCTTGATTTGTAAAGTTTCACCAGACTCCTGTCCGTTTCCACTACATTCTACAAAATGCCTCTGAAATCCCTGAATAAAATAAATGGCTTTGGTCTACTATATCATTTCTGACTTCTGAGGGTTTTTTTTCTCTTGCTCAGAAGCACTATGAACTCCCTGCATTTTCTCACCCCAAGAATGCATCAAACAGAGTAAAGACACCGCCACACTCTAAACACAGGGCAAACGCAAACTGATTTGGTGAAACAGTTGAATTGGCTATCCTTTGTAAATACACAAAGCGTTTAAAAAAATAACAAAAATTTGGAAGTCAAAACTACCTCGGTCACTTCAGTAGGAAAAATATTTCATTTGGAAATATGCATACAGAGCCGATTTTACGCTGTCCTAAAACAAAAGCTGAAAAGCTTCTCTATAATAAGACAAGGTCAGCAGAGGACAGGGGGAGGTATCCCACCACACCCCTTGAATACAGAAGAACAACTTGTCTTCTCCTCCTTTGACGGGCGATCTCTTGAAGGATTACCAGGGGAACAGCTGGAGACATCTTTGGTGCCTTTGACAGGTATTTTAATCTCAACACGCATATATACTCATATATATGTATAAATATACACTGCCTTCTCAATTAAATAGACACTTTTCAATTAACTCAAGTTTATCCTGCAAGTTGCAGAGCACAGACAAGTGTTCATGGATGTGCACTCCACTATATCCAAGGGAGCAATTTCTATAATCCATCGTGTGGTTGAGATCAGCAATCTTTGACTGCGGGATTGCAGCCCATTCCTGGTGCAGACCTGTGTAAAGGAGCCCCCTGGAGGCTGGTTTAGGCCAGCATTTTCACAGGGACTGGTCTCAGGTGGACCTTACATGTTCAATAGGGTTCATATCTGGAGATTGGCCAGGACATGAAAGAGTTGTGATGCCTTTATTGTCTTTTCACCATTGTGTTGCACAAGTTTCTGGCTGGTTACAGCTGGTGATCTGCAAATGCTTTGTCAGTTCTGCTTGGTACATTTATGATTAGAGGTTTATGCTTAGCTGCTGCAGTGAGCAGCATTGTACAGGGTGCTGGGTTTATTGAGGAGCTTACCCAGTGCTGTTCACTTTGTGCAATGGAAAGGTGGAAAGGCATTGGAAAATGGATGTCTATTTAGAGGTGAGAAGGCAGTGTAAAAGGCAAAAATGTGTACATATGAGTCAAAATAAGTTAATGAAATGCAAAAATATTTGAAATAAATAAGAATAATAATCAAATTAAAAAACAAAGACAATGTGAATAACATACATATTAAACAGAATTCTGAAGTATTTAAAGAGAGCTGTTTTCTTTGCAAAACTGTTGAACGAATAACAGACAAAAAAGACCAATGATGTTCCTCATGTTCCTCAATGATGCAAGATTGTCATTACATGTTATGGTGGACTGTAATATCCACTGTATGTAAATGTTATGCAGAAAATAAAATGCTTATTTTAGCTTAGGGTTAGTATAGTATATATGTTTCACTTCCTGTTACAAATACAAGCACTTAGAGTACAACTTCTGTATGTTTGATTAGAAATTGAAATGTATTTATAATGAGAACATTTATGTAGTTAGTTACAAGTAAGGGTAAATATGTTGTTTAGCAAATTGTTATTGATTATCATATTAACTGATAATCGTTGCTAACCCCTTTGTCTTTCTTTTACTTCCATTGATATTGGGCCAATTTCAAAATACTATACAAATATATTAACTTGGATCAGCTAAAACATGTTACCACTTAATATGTTAATAACATATTAATGTTTAAGAGGATTAAAGAATGCTATTTCATTCATTATTAATAATAGCAATTAAAACTATTCAGTTTTCAATACTTTGTAAAACTTAAATAATATTTACTGTGTATGCTCTCTACATACTGAAAAATATGTGTATGGAAATAACAAATAATCTTATTTTGACTCATGTATATAAATTAAATGAAGAGCAAGTCTAATTATGGTACTTCGTTTTGGCTTGCATCAAGTGTGTTCAGTTCTGGTCCTGAATGGCTGGTGAGTCTGCAGATTTTTCATTCCAATTTGGCTGTTTAATGCCTTAATTGGACCAATTTATCAACTTCTCCCAGCTCTTAATGTGGTGATGCTTTAAAGAAAACCTACAGACACACCAGCACTCTAAAACCAAGATTGGAGACCCTTGTCTTATATGGAGAAATATTTAAAATTTAACATTTTCTTTCAATAATGTCCTTAAAGAAATACATCTTTGGTACTAGTGGTCTGTTGATGCTCCCTTTATATGTTTATCTGTATTTCTCTTCCAGAGGGATTTGATATGCTAGAAGGTACGTCACTGCTAACTGAGGAAAACTTACAAGATGAAGACGGAGAATCCTCATCAGCTTTGCAGGACCTAGCTCACCTGCGAAGAGAAGATATTCCGCACAGTCAGCACAGCACCTGTTCCACTGTCACAGCTGTGTCTGTTACTCCAGCATCTCCCCCTGCTTTTAGAGTTCCTATAACAAATAGTTCAGCTTCAGAATCTGCTGTGCCTCAAGTCCTTCAGACCTTCAAAGAGTCGGCCAATATGGTGGCTGCTTTTAACCTCCAGTGGAAAGATGAAATTTCTGCAATGCGTTACGAATTAGCAGAATTACGCAAAGACATATGTGGAGAACTGAAGACCTTCAACAGTAATTTCCTGAACTTTACGCAGTGCTACAATATGTGGACCCTTGGTAGAGAAGACAAAGGCTGCCTAGACCGTGTGTCTGTGGGTATACAGGCTGGAACCAGTGGCTTGGTAAGACAGAACACAGCTGATGCGTCATGCTGCTATCCTGAGGCAAATGCTTCGGACATCCAGGAAACAAGCACCAGTGGTGAAGGGATTGAAGTCGCCAGTGGTACTGAGGAGATGGGAGCATCTGACAGCACTGCCAGCTCAAGACCCTCAGAGGACACATCCAAAAAACGGAAGACCAAAAGACGACACCCTGGAAAAAAAAGTGCAAGCCTGGAATTGTGGACCAG